TTTTTTTTTGCTAAACCGTGGGAGTTAGTCAGTTTTTAGATATTTCGATTTAAAGAATAATTCTCCGTACCAAAGGGGTTTTGAACCCGTGGGACAAGGGAACCAAATAATATGTTCTAAAGAGAACATTAGAAGATCGAAAAGGAGTTTGAGTCAAGAGAGATAGATAGATACCTGCAAGTTATGTGTTGGCACTTGGGACATTGTCGCCACTCTTTAAGATTTGCCAAAGTTTTTAGCTTTGCTTCCTCATTTTCTCGAGGATTAGTATACAATCTCTTGTAATCGGCGCACGATACCGAACCATGCCATGGTCCTTTGCAGTAGACGCAGAAGGAGCCACCGCATTGGAAGCATCTCCTACTATATCCATATCCGGGGAACGAAAAAAGCTCGGTTTTCGACATCAAGTGAGAACAACTTTGGTATGGACAATAAACTCTCTCATTCAAAGGCATCGATTCTTCTTTAATCCTCTGTTCCCACATCAAAAACAGCTTTGGATTCAAAAGCTTGACACAAGTATCAATACATAGCCGAGACTTGCACCAATGCTCAAGACAAGTCGGTATCTTTCCACATCAAGAAGCTTCACTTGTATATGTTGTTTCACACAGTTTAAGCAAAACCGATGACCGCAACTACCAACAAGAAACATGAGATCGGATTCAATGTCTTCGTCGAGACAGATAACGCAAGACTCACTAGTTTCCATGGCTTGATGATCAAGATACAAAGCTCTTGTGATTTGAGAACAAGTTGAGTTAATTATTACAGGTTCATTAGTCTTAAACACAAGATTATCCTTAAATCGCGTTCTCGCAATCGGCGTTTTGCTCTCCACCGCAATCTCCATCTTTACCAAAACCCTTTTGAGTAAAAATGAGATTTCTTTCTTCTGAGGTTATTCGCGGCGGCGTTGATGGTCGTTTTCATTGTCGCGATCTCCGGTGCGACTAGTATAAAGAAAATTGAGAAAAGTGTGAACTTTTATGATCAGTACGGATAGAATCTCGAAGCTAATGCAAATCATGATTACAGTTACGGATATACCCAGAAAAATCGGAGAGAATATTTGCAAAATTTGCGGATATACACACGTGAAGGTGCTTGTCGGAGGCGAAGACGGTGGCATTTCTCCGGCGTGGCAAAACGTAGTTCCGCGGGAAATTAAGGGTATAATAGTCAATCTGGGGTTGCTTATGTACTGGGAAAACGGCATTTTTGTACCAAACCATCGGTCTTTTGGACCTGATATTTTAACATTAGCCAATTTAAATCCGAATTTCAAATTAATNTAAATTATTTAAAAAAAATTAATAAATTCACCTCATAATTCTAAATAAAAAATAGATCAGAATTAAAAATTAAATTTTAATTTGATAAATATAAAAATTATAAATCCAAAATTTAAACTGTAATTAAATTTTTTCTAAAAAGTTACATTTAAAATGAAAGAAATTAATATTTTTAAACC